AATTTCAAGAGGTTTTGCTCTCTCCACCGACCACGAAACTACGTAAATTGCGCAGAGTCAAGTTGTGATGGACCCTCGCATGCCAGATGCGTGTGGTGGCCAGAAATCACGCTGAGCAAGTGGCAAGCAATCGAAGGTGGCCGTGCATTAGATGCCATTGATGGTTGGCTTTGGCTGGTGTGCCTGGAAGCTCACCACAGCTCTAAATCCTGTTTAATCGAATGAGATCTCAGGTTCTTTTAACACCCTCGATGCACGTATTGTCTCGCAAGTATTTGCAAATCCGAATCATGTGATATTAACACGGATGCCACACATTACACTGCATCAGCCTCCGCAGTGTGCATGTTGGTCAGTGTGTCCAAGGATCATGGGGCTGTGGTGGCTGTGGGATTTTGGCCTATGGCATGGGCAAATGGTAAAAGTGGTTTGGGATTGGCATGGTCAGCATGGCCTTCCTTGGTTTGGAACGTGGTTTGGGTTGGTCCGCTAGTGAGGCATTTGGCTGTCTTGGAGGACCGGCGTGATGTGCGATGGCATGCGAAGGGACTCTCAACTTGACTCACAATTTATTTCAAGAGGTTTTGCTCTCTCCACCACCAGGAAACTACGTAAATTGCGCAGAGTCAAGTTGTGATGGACCCTCGCATGCCAGATGCGCTTCGTGGCCGAGCAAGTGGCAGGGCTGGCAGTCGAGGGTGGCCTTGCATTGCATAAGATGTCGTGGATGGAGCGTTTCTTTTGGAGCTGGATTTGGTTGGCGTGCCTCAGAATTGAGTTTGAATTAATTCATCCCCCACATCTTGCTGATTGAGACATGTTTTGAATCCTGAGTGAGCTACTTGAGCAGGCTTCATGACACTTTCATGACACCCACAGACCGCTTGGTCTCCATCCACCCTGAGACTCCAAATGCACTGAGGACTGGACCTGTGAGAAGTGTGGTGCTAACAACTTTGCCCGCCGTGACGAGTGCTTTAAATGTGGAGCTAAGAAGCCCGATAACTAGGTGGCAAGGCTTATCCGGCAGGTTGGCTGCCTGCCGGCCACGGCCACAGCCGCCAGCCTGAGAGTTGGGATGAGCCCCTTCAACTGGTTCAGCATTGGAAGCAAGAAGGGGCGAACCCATTGGGCTGCCGTGTGACATATCATGAACAGGAATCTAGTTCCTTCGGTGTTGCATGACAATGACACATGACCCATGTGGTTGTCTAGGGGCTTGGAAGATCAGCTGTAGAGAACACAATCCTGAAAGGAAGCTGGGGTTTGGAAAGCCCTCCCTGTGCGGGCAGCTAGGACAATTCAAGGACAGAGTTACATAGAGGAAGGAACTAGAGGCCCCACAAATGTGTTTCAAGGAGAGGCCTGCTAGTGGCCATGCGAGGCAGTGATGGCTTCCGCGGTGTTGAGTATGCATCTCCAGGAGTTTTCATCGGCCAGAGAAGGTGGGGATTTGTGGCCTCTGCTTTGACCCGAAGGTTTGAAGACTCAGCCGACTCAGCTCACTTAGATTGCCACTACTTGTTTTATGTGGTTGAACTGTTAGGGCCGGTTGAACTGTTAAGGCTGTTGGATTCCGCACAGGTTTTCAACGCAAAGAGGCCGTCACTGGCCCGAGAAGAACAGAAATTTCAACCATCGCCGCGTGGAAAGACGCTTGACTGCTGGTCGGTGGTGCAGTGTTGTTCCCCGGAAACTTCGCCTGTCTCCATTTTTTGACAACTTCTTGGGACACTCACAGGTATAAATATCCCCCGATGTCTTAAATTCACCGAAACGCAGCCATTTTCTCACGCATCCCAGGGACTTTCTTGTGTGCCAACGGTTTGGATGAGACACATCATCTTTTCCCAGATGCATGCACGAGCCGTCCTGGACCTCAAACACCGCGGAATGCACAATAAAGATGTTTCCTGGCCAAAAAACATATTGCGTTCTGTCCGTTTTGATGGCTTTAATCTCAGCCAATTTCAAGGACGAAGAGGCAGAGTTTTCTCAGCTCATTCTGAATAGAACAGTGTTTTGGTGTGAGTAATTCATTGTGACCTTGCAGGCCGGTGGCTACTTACGTTCGAAGGGTTTAAGTGGGTGTGGACGTATCATTCGCAATTTATTTAGCGTGGCAGTTATTGATTTCTGATTGGACTTCGTCCTCATGCTACAAATAGCCTTTTGCCTGCTCAAGCACGACTATATAAGCCAAAAGCCAGTTTGCGTGCTGCCACTCAGGCCTCCAACTGCTGAACTGAAGGCCACATAAGACCAGCCCCCAAACAGGACTGTTCACAACGGGACAAGGTTTGTGTCGTCTTTTTGGTGAGGTCTGAGCCATACCAACATGGAAACCAAGTTCAAAGGAGGAAGTTGAACTGACTGAACAGGCTTCTAATTTGTGATGAAAGTCTTTCCATGATTGCCCATGGCAAGCGTGCTTTGTCAAAATGGCTGTGGCCGCGACTGCGGCAAGGGTGCTGATGGTCGAGTCACTTGGTGGGCTGGTCTGGGGTGGAGCCACCAATATCCCGTGAAAAATTCTAGCCAGGTGCTGTCAACCAGGATCAACCAGAAGGGGACGCTTTCTTTGATGGTCTTTCGCTGGTCCTTTACTATTTGTTGGTACTTTGGGCGGCTTCTCTGTGTCCTCTCTTCATAACTGCAACAGTAAACACCTTATCTTGCACACGCAGTGCATATATATTTATTACTTTTGGCCTCTGATAGTCTTCAGATAGAGTACCATCTTTTTATCGAAAGCGTTACTTGACACTTTCCACTGACCTTTTTTTCTGCACAATTAGGGCTAAAACACCCACTGATTGCTTTGTGGACAGAATAAGTCAAGTGTGCATTGATGTAGCTGAGGTTTTTCCAACATGTTGCAAGAGCTGTGTCACTTGGATGCAATGGTGACCTAGTAGACTCACCCGGTCTTATCTCGCAGACGTCACCTCTTCAGGCGTACCTGAAAAAGGAGCGCGGCTTGTGCGGCCACGACATTGACTGCGACATCCGAACCTTGCCTACAAACGCAAATGCAATCCTATGAAGTGAAGGCTGGTTTGTCACGTGCCAGGAGCACTTTAAACCGCTTCGATGTTGAATGATAAGGTTGTCCTTTTCATTTCTCCTCAAGCTGTTGTGTTTCCATAGTCCCTTTCGCTGTTGTTGGCCACCTCATCGCTCATGGTCGGCAGTGTCAGGGTTTGGGGCGTTGACGGCGTTGACCGTTCTTCTGAGGTGCCAATGAAGCTGTTTGCCCTCCTTGGTACTGGAAGTCCGCGGCCGTTTGGCCTGAGCCTTTCCACGAGGAGGTCGGCGGGGAATATGTGAAAGAGAGCCTTGGCAGGGGAGGATGGACTAATGCTAATGGATGGACTGTTGTGAAGAACGGGGTTGGTATCAAGTCATCCCTAGACCCATGTCACGGACACATTTATATTGATTGCACCTCCTAACTTCGAGATTTCTCGATGTTAGGAGGTTTTTGACATTAAGCAACACATGACATGACGGACCATGTCACCAAGGGAATGGCGGCCGCAACTCCCATGTTATCCTCCAGTTATTGCATTTGGTAAACTCAGCTACCTATTGATGACTTAGAGGTAGCCATTCCTATGTCATTAGTCCTCTCACTATAACTTGATGACTGGTTTTGCTGCAGCATGTTGGGCTCGCTGCAGGATGGGAACCAAGATCCTGCAACGCCGATTGCCAGACTGGAAAGTGGTACGCTGTGAGCGAATAGAAGACGCAGTGCTCTGGGACAAGTATACAGCCAAGCGTGCCCAGCTTCTTAGTAAAACTCTCGCCGCTGCAGCTTCATCTCCATAGCCTCCGGCGGACCACAAACGGTCCACGGCTCTGAGGCTTCGAGAAAGATCCGTAGCGAAGGCCAACATACAGCCAGCTTCTTGGCCATATACCTCGCGTATGATGAGAGCGCAGTGGTATGCGAGGGAGCCAAGAAGAGAAATGATCGTATGGACAAGTTCTGCCATGGCCGTGCATACAGACCCATGTCCAAAAGTCATGTTCCCAGCAGGTGTAGACTCGGCGTGGACGGCATTAACCTTCCATCCATCACTCCCGACCTTTTCTTCTGAGATCCTGAGCTCACAGGAGACGGCTGAGAGCATCCAATATTCAGCCAATACCACCCTTGATCATCGAGTCAATGAAGTTTGGCTCCTGCATGGATCCTGGGTCGCACGAAGGGCCTGAAACAAGAGTCCCCTTTGTTCATGCACCAGTGTTGAGTGGAGTCAATGTTGTGGGCTTGTTGATCATGTTCATGATCCCTGAAGCTATTCGGGTGCCACTTTTGTCTAGAGATGCTTGGTTTGGGTTGAGAGGTGGACACCTGTGTTGAAATGACGCGGGAGCCTTCTCCCCCAAGGTACCTCAGAGGAGGCAGCAAAGGCCATTTCGCACAGCAACTTCCTGCCCAGCAGTGGTGGTTGTTTTGGCTCTGGTATCTATTTCGCAGACGATGCGCGAAAGAGCAACCAATATGCCAGCAGAACAGAGCTTCAGCTGAAATTGGACAGGTGGCGCACAAGCAGGTGGTGGCACATTCCAGGGTTGGTCCACTCATCTAATCTCAGCTTTTCAAGAACCGCCCCTCTTGCAATTCTAAACGATCTTTGTCAGATCACCACACATGGCAATGTTGGAAATCATCTCCAAGGGGCTGGTTCGTTCAATTTTTTCTCTTTCTCCTGGCCAGAGCAAAGTCCAGCAAGATGCGGGCCAAGGCAGAAGACCAGAAGATCATGCTCTTGCGGCTTGCTGTCAGCTTAATAGCGATGACCTCCAACATATTAGGAAAAGGAACCTATCACATTGTTGGTGCATGTTGGTGCCTATTCCGGTAGGTGACCAATGACACCAAACACAGATGGTTGATGATCGTCTCATTCATATATTCGATCTGAAGAAAATCCACCTGAACCCACCAAGTCCAGGGTTGGAAGCCGGGCCAGTCGTGACCTTGGCCGATTTGGCAGGCATGTGGCCTGGGCGGATTCCGAGGTGTCGAGTGGCCCTGGGCGGTGTGAAGGTCTTGCCCGAAGGCCAAGATCGCAGCGCAGATCGCTTTGCTGCCGATCCGTCGATCGATGCTTTGGCGGCAGAGGGTGGGGTTCATGGGGGAGGTGGGATGGAACCTGCCACAGAAGGAGCCGCCACTCAAGGAAGGGTTTTTGATCGGTTGATGAGAATCACTGCTGTTCACGCAGAAATTCGCGCAGGCGAGAGAGCGGTGCGGAAATGGTTGATTTTTCTGGTCAGGACTCCATTCTTGGCACCACCGATGCCAAAGAGTTCGTTGTGTACGATTCTGCTCAGATCTATCCGGAGTACATCATGTGCCCCACTGGTGAGGGGCGAGGGTGACGGAACATGATGCGTGACAAGACACTTCTTTTGCTTGCTTTGAGGGTCGGGAAGCACTCACGACACCGAAAGGACGGATTCTCGCTTTTTTTGGGGTGGGATTCGCCTCCAAGACCGTGCAAGTGTGGCAAGAGCCGGCGGTCAGTCCGGTACTTCGACCCCGTCGATGTATGAAGCATCGTGCATGAGCGTTTGAGGCAAGCGATGTGATTTTTCCCCCTTGCCAGGTACTACCAAGAGATAGGCACTGCCTGAGGCCTAAAGCATTACCGTGCGGAGCCCGACGGAGAGCCTCTGCGCCCAGCCAGGGAGCTTCTTCAGAAGACATTTCTTGATGCGGATGCTGAGCTGGAGCCGCGCTGGCAGCTGAGTGCCAAAAGGGATGCTGGCAGCACGTTGCTGGGTTCCTCACAGGTGTTGAGTCAATCCCAGGTGCTGAGTCCTCAAGGCCCGAAATCACATAAGCCATTATTTTTTAAAACCATTTTAGGGCATCCTCAACCAACTGAGCATTTGAGCCCTCCGGAACACAGAACCTAATAGCAATGGCCTCCAACCTAGAAACGGCATCCAATCTAATGGCCTCGCTCCTGTGGTGTGGCCGTTTGGCTTTTGCAAGTTTTAGGGCCAATGGCCTTGTGGGCGGTGCCTGCATGTCGACTGCATGTCGGCGGCGGCAGTGGTTGCACAACGCGTGGCTGAAATCCGTGCCTTGACCGGTTTTGGTTGTTCATGCTTGTTTGGGAAAGCCCGGAGAGATGTGGCTTGTTTATGCCTACGGGTGTAAAACCGAACGTGTGAGAGGTGGGGGGGGGGGGGGGGGGTGGGATGGGGCATACTGACGTTCGTTTGCACTTGCTATCTGAAGTTGATGCTACGTGAAAGGTGGGGGGGTTGGGTTGGGGTGGGATGAGAACATTGTCATCGTTTTCACGACAAGTAATCTTCGGTTTCATAGCATTGTCATCGGTTTCACCACATTATCTTCGGTTTCATAGCATTGTCATCGGTTTCATAGCATTGTCATCGATTAGTCGTGTGATTAAAATGGGGTGGGGGGGGGGGGGGGGGGGTTGTGATGGAATGAGGATGTGGATGTCATGCTGAGAACATTGTCATCGATTTCACGACAAGTAATCTTCGGTTTCATATCATTGTCATCGGTTTCATAACATTGTCATCGATTAGTCGTGTGATTCGCGGATGGCAGTGGCGTTGGGAAAACACCACGTGTACTAACTTGTGCAAAAAAACTGCGCAAGTCTACTTGAGACAGGACGCATGAAAGTTGAGGACAGCCCGGGACAAAAACGGCGACGGATTTTGCGCTGGCGCTCGGGTTTCGGCAGATTCGGCTTTCAAAATAAAAGGGTCCGGGACCCCCAAAAAACATCATCGAACAAGCAAAAGTACTGAGAGGGCTTGCACTTTTGAATCAAAATTTGCACGACTACACATGTGATTCCACACCCGGCGGGTTGTTTATGCTTGTTCTTTCTGGCACCCTCCAAAGGGTTGTCAGGGGTTGTCACGTTTAGCGAGACCCAGAGGTGGTGGCCGCGACACCTGCAGAAAAAAAACACTGTTTGCGCCCCCGCTCCTTAGGTGATGAAGCGGAAACCCAAGCGCAGGAGCAGCGGAATGCAACGCTGAAGGAGATCTTTGATCGGCTCGATGCGGCTTGGCGGAGGCTTGGGAGATCGCTTTGAGGCGAAGGGGAGACCAAGTTCGAGTCAAAGGGGAGAGAGAGAGAGAGCGTAATAGATATAGCCTCCACCCTAGTAGCATGGCCTCCAACCTGCTAGCTGCTACTAGTGATGCCCTCCACCCTAGTAGCAATGGCCTCCAACCTGTGAGAGAGAGAGAGAGAGAGAGCGGGAGAGAGAGAGACCAAGTTGGCAAAGCCACGGCTTTCGGGGGCTGAAGCAGACGCCCACATGCAAGCGAGACCCCACAATGCGAAGGCAACAGAGTGAAGGGAAAGGTGGCAAGAGATAATGCGACTTTCTCCTTCCTTTTGTCCAATTTCTGGGGCCTAGAATTTTCGTTGAGTCATTGATGGATCCATGTGCAACCCCTAGTAGCGTCCTTGCTCCGTTCGTAGCGGACATATGTGCAACCCCAAAGCGCCGAGGACAACGGCAGCGGCTCGCTAGACCGGACAGAGGTCCGGAGCCTTTTGCAACAGCTGAACAAGGCGGGACCGACTTCCTGACCACAGCTCAGCATGTTAAATTGCTTGTTTGGAGTTTGCCCGGCTTTCCTTGTGCGGGTGAGACGTGTTCCAGATGGGTAACTCAGTTCTCTGCCTGGTGCCAGTGCGTTCGATAGCTTCTCTAGATCAGAGGCTCGTATTACGGCACCGTTGTTTGTGCTGGGTCATTGAAGATCAGGTCTCCCGTAGCCGACGCAGCTGATCTTTGGAAGATTCATCGCTGGATTTCAGACCCGTGCTGCCAGGGCTGCTTCCCAGATACTGTCTCATTTGCTGTTTGTTGCCGTGGTCTCATCAACACTGTCTGGCACTTGCTGGGGGTGGTCCTCCAGCATCCTGCAGTGCCACCTTGCTTGTGTTAAAATCGTTGAGATGCCTTCATTGATGAACGATCACCTCATGCGATCACCTCCCCTGTGTACTTTCAAGCTCGAGGAGTCTAGGGGTAATGTTCTAGAGCTAGAGCAATGGCCAGAACCATTTTTTGGGACAGAGCGGTATTCTCCATTGAGTTTGGAGCGTTATTTATCAGCTCAAGCACCTCCATCTCTGGATTCACTGGTTTTGGCCGCGCGGCAGCCTTGCATCCAACCTTTGCATCCGGGTCCAAACCATCCGACAGGGCGTTCAGCCCACGGAACAAGAGCTGACCTTCGTCATGAAAATGGCAGGCGCGGTGCTGGGCTTGAGCTGGTCGCAACAAGACTTGAAGCATGCAGAATACGTAGGGGATACAGGCTGCAGAATGCGCAGTGGACTTCCATACTGGCCACATCGTGCGTCCGGATGGTTGAAGCACTCTAGATAGTTAAAACATGCTTTGAACATTTTTAAAGCCATTCTCCAGAAACGTCCTATGGAGATGTGACCTAGGTGAAGGCACCAGCGTAGAGCCTGGCAAGCGAGCGGCAGCTGGGTTGAAATGGGCTCTGCAGTTCTGCAGTTACGTTTGCCATTCTCTGCGGCCTTTTTGCCTGAGACCTTTGAAAACCATTGAATTCTGACCTTCCTAGCAGTTTATTGCTCGCACCAGGTTCTTACGGATGACCTTTACAGAGCACTGGGCATCACAAGGGTTTCAGACAAACTTGCGCAGTAGGAAGGCACACCAATTCTGGAGGGGCTTTATTATTTTGCTAGAAAAAACTGATGCCGCTGATGCATTGTTGGCTTCTCAACAGGGACCTAGTCCTGAGAAATGGATGCCGCAAAAAGTGGTTGTGAACTCAGATTCTCCATGCGGTTTTGCAAATCCACCTTCGTCACTGTGTGCGACTGACATGAGTGATCTTCTTTCACCTTTTCGCTTCTCTTTTTTGGTAGGCTATTACGCGGTATGAGGAAAGAATCGGCGGTGTTTCTAGAAAAATCTTTCAACTGTGTTACTTCAAAACAGCGCCCGTTTGGCTCACATCCATGGCGTTCTTCAGCAACGTCTCGGGAGCTGCAAGCCGCAAGCCGAAAGCATTATCCAAGCTTGAAAACGTCTGAGGAGACCAGAAGCTTGGAGATCGGCAAAGACAATCTGATGCAAGCCGTGACCTGCTGGAGGGTCTATCAGTCCTCGTGTGTGGCCGAGTGATCGAACAAGTGCGTTTGACAAGTGGGAAGCGCTAGCTGACACGGTGTGGTACCTGAGGTTTGCAGACGAGAAGAGCATGGGGTCCATCCTCTTCAAGATGCTCAGTTGCAGGAACTAGTGCCACTCTCATGGTTCAGCATGGTGCCTTATTTAATCTATATTGCTAGCATCTTCACTATATAGTCCAATGCTTGATCCAAACCGCACATGCTCTTGCTAAGAGGTCTGAGGCCCAGAACCACACAGGATAAACTCTAAGCTTTTCAGTGTCACAACCTGTGTGGAAAGAATCTCAGCATCTATCACCTAGCTATATATCTACATACAAATGAACACACGTACAAACATACATTTATACATCCATCCACGCATTGACGACCTGATGCATGCGTTCTTTCGACCTGATGTTTGCCTCGCTCCAGGCACGGTTGCGGGATGGTTCTCCTGCCAGTTCCAACGAAAACCAAACATACCAGGTATATATATCTATATATATACACATATATAAATCATCCAGCCAGTCGAAATCCAGTCAAGTCTCAGAGAAAAGTCTGATCATCAAACAGGACTCAACTGACCCTCCTGCTGACTGAGGAAGTTCGACCCCGATGAGACGGGATACCTGGAGCGTGACCAGCTTAAGGCGGGAAAGCTCAGCCGTCAAGCCGAAGTCAGGGGCATGAACCAGTTGGATAGCCTGACTGGGGTGGGGCTTGTCCAGAACGGTAGCTGTGGCTGGAACCTCTCAGTAAAATGTGTTTGATTGGCTTGGTCATGACGCAACGGCTGGCATTTGGGTCACTCTGCTTTTGTGCTGGTCACCCACACAGAGTGATGAATCCGGAGGCCATGCTCTCTGATCTTGAAGGTGGCGACACGGCGCGATGGGACTGTTTTCTTTTTCAATCCTGGATTGCTTTGCAAGCACATCAGGGTCAGGGGCTTTGAAGGGGTATAGGCCAGGATGTGACTGAACTCCGCAGGATGTCACTGAAGATGACCTAGAGACTTGGCGGCTAGGTGGGTGGACTGGATAGGAGCCTGGAGGCGAGGAAACATTTCTTGGCTTGGCAGTGATTGCAAGGAGGCAGGGTGCCCACCGTCGGCGACGCGGGCTAATTTTCAGGTATGCTCGAGTCTCCTTAAAAATTGCAACTGCCATTCTGGACAGGGCTTGAATCTGGAGGTTGTCCAGAATGGGGAGGGCACTCCTTGATGGGGAGGTTGTCCATCTGGAGGTTGTCCAGCACTCCTTGATGTTGGGGTGGCTAGGCTATGTTGTTTGAGAGTTTGGGGACCCATGGTGCCAGGTCGGGGCTGGAACATTTCAGCGGTTCATCAGGAGCGAAGACCCAAGATTGTCAGGGTGGAGCTTCAGTCCGTTGCCCGGTCACGCTGCACCAGCGTCGCATGAGGTATGGAGTGAAACACTCCGCTCCGCACTGATCGGAACCGATGGGATCGGCTCCGCCCTCTTCCGCGCTGAGGACTTTGTCCTGGACCAGGCGGATGTGCTACAAGATGGGAAGATCTCCAAGATGGAGCTGAGCCTCGGAGAACGGGTGGCTTTCACCGAGGGGTGGAGAAGGCGCCCGCCCAAGATGGGCCAAAGATCAACACTTCGAACACTCGATTGATCAACGCGTGTCGGGTGCGAAGGCTGGTGAAGGTGGTTTCCAGACCATGGTGGCGGCTTTGAGGCCCCACTCATACAAATCGCAAGGTTTGACATGCATGAAAAGGTAAGACGCTAGCGCTACAGTCGTCATGCTTGTTTGTTTGTTTGTTTGGTAGTCCAGTGGTGGGCTGACCCTGAGGAATCAAGCCATTGCTGCGTGGTACCAGCGGCAAAGCCTTTTGCACAGCGAAGAGACCGCACGAGGCCAGTCGAACGTCCCTTGGCATCAGGCTGATTTGTCATTTCAGGAATGTAGACTCTGATTGACAACGCCTCCTTATTTTATGAAGTTTGCACCTTCGCGCTGTACCATGAGCGCCTGTGTTACGTGACTATGTCAACAGGGGATTTTCGTGGTCCGCTCGGGTGGTGAAGAGGTTTTTACCATCGGTGCGGCTAAGATCGAACACGAGCAGCTGAGGCTTCACAATGCTGTGTTCTTTCCTGATCAGTAGCATCAGGGAGCTCGACTCACGTTTTCCCAGGGATCAAGGGATCCTCTGGTGTCGGTGTCACAGATCCGATGGCAGAGTCACTGATCTTGCCCAACGGCGCTGGTCAGGGGTTTCGGCCGTTTCACCCAGTTTGTGCAAGTCAGCTCCTGTCACGGGAGGTCGAAAAGGCCGGTGGCGACAGAGAAATGACTTCTGTGTTGCACCCATTGTCAAGAGCTTCAGGTTTCCAGTGTGCCACTTGGCTTCGTGGGTTTGTGGGTGGAGGTTGGACTTCAAAAACCTCTCTGGCCACGGAACCCGCGCAGATGGCTCAAGGACCCGAATCCTGGCCGCTCACCGTGGCGCATGGAGCAGGTGGGTCTGAGTAGAGGAGGGGGCGCTCAAGATGTGAATGTGTTCTTGTCACCGTCTCTGACAGACTTGGAGGGTCGCCCCCTTCCGAAGATGATGAGCCACCTGTCTTATCTTTAACTGCTTCCCTTGGCCGCAGTAGGCTCCGAGGGAGCCTTTCTAGCTACAGAGTCCTCGGTGCTCGCATCAGCTCCAAGATCCCTCTCTATCGCACTTCTATATAGTCTTTATCTCGTCACCTGCGTGAGGCTGGCGACGATGAAGCCACTTGGTCTTTGAGCGCCTCTTTGGGTTGTTTCTGGCCGCTAGAAAAGGTACTCGTGCATCCGGTGTGTAACGCTTTGTCTGTGGTGTGTGCCTGTGTGCTTGTGCAATAGATCTAGCCGGAGCACCGAAGAAGACATGAAACATGTCATCGACTCTTACTTTAGGATGCTCGACCCATGAGTTGGGGTCTGTACCAAGGAAAAAGCCCCTTTGCGCGGCCGCGCAAGATGACCTGGGTGGCTTGGTTTTTGCGGTCTGTTTCTCCTTTGTTGATGGCCCTTTGCTGAGTAAATGGAGCACTGCACAAGGTATGGAGGTGGTCTTAAATCATAATTATCATAATTCTGATAATTCTGCATTGATGCAAGCACGTCGTCAAGATGCATGACCATATGGACCACGGGCCTTGATGTCTCAGATGATGTCTCCATCTTTAGGGCCTTTGCGACCACTGGGGTGTTCCTCCATGTCAAGTTTGATTTCGGATGTTTTTTCTTTTTACTTAAAGACGCAGGGATTTTGCAGATATTGCAGCTCTGCAGCGGAGTTCAACAAAGGCTTAACCACCCACAGTCAAAAACACACTTCAGGTGGAAGTTCATCGGATGAGGGCACCAAGGCTTGGAGTAGAACCATCGATCTGAGTCGAGACCTTTTGTGCTTTGACTTTTTGGAGGCTTCTTGATTACAAAGGACTTTTTTGATGAAAAACGCTCCGCAATTGATTTTGCTCGATGCGCATTCCACAAGCAGATCTTGGCAGAGTGTTCTTTCTCGCAGAGTCATGAGGGGCCTTTAGTCGCAGTTTCAGAGAGGTTTGGTGTTTTGTTGGTGCACCAACTTATGCCCCGCACTCCAAAACAAGTCCTCTCGCATCAGCTCCTTCACCGCGTCCAGGTGAAGGTGAAGCGCGTCGTCTCGACACGTGTCTTGGCGTGTCGTCTCGACCCACATGGCCTACGTGAAGACACTCCGGATGCCCTGGTTAATGACGCGCCCCAGTTTTTTTCTTTATTTTTATTGGGTGGTGTGGTTAAAACGTGAAGGACGTGTTCCTCATATTGGCTTCTTGCCAACGTGCCCCCCTTTCACAGAAGGTTTCTTTCCAATGCATGTACTGTGGGTAGAGTACGAGGTGGGAAGGGCAATGAAGGGCAATGTGGTCATGTTTGCACTCTTCCGGGGGAAGAGTTCGGTCAGACAGACCTGAAGGATCTTGGCCCCCAAAACCCGAGGGTCTTTCGACTGCACTCCCACGTCGCGCGCGCGAAACACCGAACCGACCGCAGCCTTTCACGGCTCGCCCGAATCGGGCCTGGCGCTCCGCGGAGCCGGCGGAGCGCCATGACCACTTACTTGCTCTACGAGAGTGCGGCAGGTCCGATAACAAGAGATGAGAAGAGAATTGGACATTGGACTATATATATAACCTGAAGGCTCTAGGAGTCTCTTGAAGCTGACAAGTCAGACAAAAGGCTTCCAGAAAAACAATCGTGGAAGGTTTCCGGATCGATGTGTGATTTTTGACCTGTGCTCCGGTTCAGGGATGAAGCAGCGATCCTCCTTTGATTGAACACCATACGGGTGGGTCGTAGGTTGATGAAGATCCATCGCTGAAATGGGAGGCAATTGAGTGAAGCAGTCACAGCGAGCCCCACAGCTGACAGGCTATGCACTTTTCCTGAAAAAGGAATTTGAAGAAACTGCAGAAACAGAGGAGGAGGCCGGAAGCATTGTTGAGCAGCCCGCGGTGAGGTGAAGCACCCTGTTCTTTGCAATGTAAGATGGATTTTGGCAGCCGGGGCTGGGAACTGCGTTGCTGAGGTGCAGAACGCATTGCTGGATCCAAAGAAGTTTGGAAAAATGATGGGGCTGCATGCGTGGCTCCCGCCACTTGGCTCTTGCAAGTCATGCGAAAAACGGAGTCGTAGCTGCACCTGGCTATCCCAGGGGCACTCGGACCTCCCAGGCCGCACCGCGCGCTCCGCGCTTTCCGCGCGCGCCGCGTGCTCCGCGGAGGTTCCAAGATGCGGAGGACGCCTTGAGCCAAACGAATGCCGTGGCCGCTGGTGAGGCGACCGAGGAGCTGGACGCTCGGACCACCAGCCATACGACCTCGATGGTTGGGAGGGATATTGAAACCAGTGGAGGCCAGAAGGGAAGGAAGGAAAGGAAGGGACGGAAGGGACGCCCAAGGGAGGTTTGGTTCCTTTTTGATCCTATCGAGGGAGCCACACCGATGGTCAGATGGTCGTCAATTGAGGTAAACTTCTTGGAGATGAATTTGCCCAAGAAGAAAAAGTCATACCAGTCTCCTGGCGGCACAGAGCAGCTAGGTCCTGCAGCAGATGTTTCAGTTCGGAGGTAGATGGCATGTAGAGATCTGTTGGCACGCAGAGATGCATCGCATCATCACCAGCCGCTCCACAAGGTATTGCACCTGTATACTGTATACCGGGGCCTAAGCTAATACGTGGAGGGGCACAAAACACATCAAGTTGCTGTAAGGTGGTAAGCTGGCAAGAGGAAATGCTTGAAACCGTCTTCAAGGGCAGACGCTGCCAGTTCTATTTCTGAATGGTCCGCACGAAACGGGACGGTGAAGATGGTGACGAACGAACACGTTCGGAGCTTCGGAGTTTGCCGGTGGGTTTTCATCGCGTTGATGCCGCGGTGGACCGAGGCTTGGTGTTTATGACCCTGAGCTGGGGAAGGCCCAAAGCGTTTTGGCACGAAGCCGACAGCAAGCCGGGAGAGCTCCTTCCGAGCAAGACAGACCACATCAAACAACTCCTTTGGCTCAATCGATTTTCGGATCTAACGCCTTTTGGCTCAATCGATGGTGGTTTTCATGGATCACATGGTGACCACACACACACACACACGGCGGACCGCGCCAGGCCTTGGCAGAGCAGTTTCCGATCACACACGGCCAGTCGGTGAAGGTGAAGATCGGTGACCGAAGTGGTGGGGCGGAGGTGGTGAAATGGCGAGGTGAACACCCTCAGGTTGCCAGCAATTCCATGTAATGCCACTGAGTCTATGAGGTTGGAGGCCATCGCTATTAGGTTGCCAGCAATCCCATGCACTTTTCACTTTAGGCTTAATAGATCTTACAGGCTTCGGTGTTCTGGGGTTCTTAGACTTAGCTCATTCTCGGAAAGCACAGTTCATTTTTGCAGAATCGCGTTGCAGGAAGTGGTACAGTAGCTTTTCCAGAAACGCAAGCTATATAATACACGCTAAAACTAGCTTATTTTACTAGCTGTTTTTGATGCATTCTCAGCTCAATATACTATGAACGATGTGTTGCGAAAAGTGTCTCGGTGGAACGACAAAACCAGAATCTGCTGAGAATCCGTGGTGCAGCAGCTACAGGGATCAGTGAACGGCATAGGTATCAAAAAATAACACAACGAGCATCAAAAAAAAGAAAAAGATTATCAAAATAAACATAAAAAGCGAATCAAAAACATATTCCTTGATAGGCCTCTTCTGCTGCTCTCCTGGCCCTGTGGCCTGCGGGTCCTCTGGTAATAAGGTCCCTTGGTCCTTTGGTCCCTTGGTCCTCTGGTCCACTGGTGGTCCCTTGGTCCTTTGGTCCACTGGTCCCCTAGTCCTCCGGTCTCCTGGTCCTCTGGTCCTGTGGTCCGCTGGTCCCCTGGTATCCTGGTCCTTCTGTCTCCTGGTCCGCTGGTCTCTTGCTCTCCTACTCCGTTCGTCTTTCGGTCTCCTGGTCCCCTGCTAAATCGAGGCTTGATTTCTTTCTACTAGAGGCAGCTTTCTGGGAGGAAAGTAGGTACCCAATCATGGTAGCCGTCCAGGCATTGAGTAGCCCTACTCGAAAAATGGTTCACCAGTAGAAATAGCTCCCTACTAGGAAGTACACTCTCCTAGTCCCCTACTCCTTCCATCCTCTTCCCTTGGTCTCCTAATCCTGCTACTGCTACTACTACTACCCCAACCATCCTCAGTGGGCTAGAATATATTCCTTTTTTTTAAGTGATCCCCGTTGAATATATTTTTTTCGATTCTATTTTTACTTTTTTTTTTTTAAATCCCTTACCCTCAGTGAACGTCCTGGCTTCGTCACATTTGTTTGTCGCTTTGACCTTTCCCCCCATGTCAACGCAATCTCAGTTTCGTCATGTTTTTTCTCAACATTTGCGTCTATATATATATATAATCCATTTGCATCCGTATCCCAATTACTGATGGCCCCTTCACTGAAATGCACTTGGCATTTGTTCAACGATGACTTTGTGGAAGGAACCTTCCCACATAGCAATCAGTGATTCTAAACATTTAATGTCAAGTTAAACATGTGATGTTCCCTGATCAAAAGGGGGTCTTGAAAAAGGTCGAGTGGACCGTGGGACCCAAAGAGCAACTGATTTTGGGATCGGACGATGTGGGATTGGAGGGAACCCTAAACCTTTTCCATTGCTCACGCTGACTGACGCCAGGAACTCCTGAGAGGCTGCCGAGCACACTTCGGCCGCCTGGTCAAGGTGCGGAAGCCAACCGGAACCCCTTGCGCTCCGCAGATGAAGCACCCAAGACCGACTTGTATGAAGTCTCGGAAATTTGGTCAAGAAGCTGCTAGGGCCTAGGGGCTCGTGGCCTTACTACTAGGAGCAGGGACGCTACTAGGGGCTCCTGGCCTTACTGCTAGGAGCAAGAAGCTACTAGGAAATGAAGCACCCAAGACCGACTTGTATGAAGTCTGGGAAATTGAGTCTAGAGTGCGAGAACACGATCGCCGCCCATTAGTAGAGAATTGACTGCATTCCACAGTCGCCATAACAGGGGCACGGGTCACTAGCCGCCCAAGCACCACCTGTGAGGCCTTGAGCGACAGCGACTTGGATAAAGCCCGACTGGGCCTGGGGCACGCCTTCAGCCGGCATCGGATGCAGCTTGATCCCAACCGCCAGGCGCCAGAGATGCAATTTTTGGGGCCGAGGGCAGGTGTACGGCAATGTGATTTGCAGGGTCTTGGGGTCAGGGGACTAGTGTGGACTTGCTGGTGCTGCTGATGGTGGGTTCTCAATCGAATTGCCCCAGCCCGGAGCGAAGATTCCGCGCGACCTTTTGAGGACAAGCCGATTATGAACACCATCGCGCTCCTGGACAACCTAGATAAGTGTCTCAGCTACAGGGCATGTGCTACCAGGGCTTCTTGTGCACAAAAAGCACTCCTTCGACCACCTGGAAACGGCCGAGGAATATCAACACCTTTGCGATGCGGGTTCGGGTGCCTTGGCCGCAACACCTTTCGCCGAGTGTCCCTGCACGGTATAGGTGAATCCATGGCCATAGTTGGAATGGACCCCCCAGGCGCATCGCATCGAATCCACCAGTGAATTCGGACCGCCAGATGTCCATCAAAGCAGTTCCGCCGGTGGCCCATGCTGATGGACTCATGATGTCGTCCAGCATATGTCCAGGAGTGGTACGCGTGGCACTTCCCGGAACTCACCAAGATCGTCACGGACAACATCGCCTACGCGAAGGTGTCCCGGGTCATCCGCGTCGCTTGACGTCAGAAGGGTCTTCCGGGACTGACGACGTCAGGTGGGGTGGAGAAACTGATGACGATGTCGACGTGCGCAGCTGAGGTGCGGGATGGCTACGAAGGCCGGGTGTTTTCTTTGGGCCGCTTCTTCCCTCTATTTGTTTGAAGATTCTGGTAAGAGGACCGGTTTGTGATTTTGGAGATTCTGGGGTAGGTCGATTCTTCGGAAGAACCGGACTTGTAGACTACCGGGACTGCCGGCTGACTCGCGTGTCAACAGCGTCGATCTTCGAACGGAACCCCCCCAAACGGCCCATAGGCGACAAGGAGGCCTTGACCGAGGCCTGTGGCTCGGAGGAGGTGGCCGATGAGATCCTGCGGCTTGGTAGGCTCGACTGGTGAGTGGCTGGGGTAGGTTGGGTTGGTTGGGGTAGGTTGGAGGAGTGCTGCCTTTTTGGATCGGGAAGGGGTTGGAAGAGGTTAAAAGGGATTGAGTAGAGTCGGATGACTTGTTTGGCCTCCATCAGCCGAAAAGCAAGGAGTCTCAGACCAGGTGTTGCGCACTGGTCTGACTGCAGTAGTGGCAACTAGATTGAAGCCAACCTGGCAGTGCCAAAGAAACAGCTTCCAAGCTAAGGAAGGCATTGAAGATGTCGATGGGCCAGGCGGGAGCCCATGAGAACCCAGAACTGACCATGGTGCTTTTTTCAGCTGCCTTTTTCAACTGTGACTTCGCAGTTCGGGCCACGACGATTCACTTGGACGACAGTCAGGACATCGTAGAGATGGACATGAAGAACATCGAGCACTTTGCCAGCGAGGTGATCAAGTTGGCCGACATGTGCCTTGGCCGGGTGTGGCAGGCCCAGGGCAGGGGCATGAATGGGGTTACGTTGGAAGTAACACGACCAGGGCATTTTCTAGATGTGGTACGACTTGCTACGACATGCTACGACTTCATACCAGGACCAGTTCACTTCAGAACGGTTAACCGGCGGCATGGGGGTGTTTTGATGTGTCTTCGGGGTTTGTTTGGTGCCTTTTTTGGGCCAACGTCGCTTGGAGTTGCAGCCTGAGGCGCAAGACGCTGCACGAGTATCTCAAGGCCTGGTGGCGGTTGCATGGTACCAAGAAAACACAAGTCAGGACCATCATTCTTCAGCACCTTTCTTCCGCCACTGGGGGAAGACCGCGAGGCGGCTTGTTGTGGTGGAGCGAAAGCCTGACCACGGCCAAATCAACATGAGCATCCCTCCTGGACAGGTGCCCCAACCCACGGAACAGCACGCTTTCTGGTCCCCTTCTAGGCGAAGATGGACTTGGTCGCGCCCAACCTGGCGGCGCTGATCGGCGAGATCATCGGAGCCCGTCTCATCTCCCATGCAGGTGGGAGACGATGTGGGACGCTCACATCAAACTCCAAGGTGTCCAGTATGTATATAGATGTATACTGTATACTGTATAGTGTAGGATGGATGAACTTGCAAGAAGATTCCGAGGTTCCATCCGTTTGGGTTCGGGGTTTTTGATGGTCTTCCTTTGCCTCACCTAACCAGGCCCCTGGTTTTTTGTGGAGCCTAACTCGCCCCTGGCCCCTGGCCCGAGCTGCCAGGAAGCTTGACGAACTTGGCCAAGTACCCTGCCAGCACCGTGCAAATCCTTGGTGCAGAGAAGGCGCTCTTCCGAGCACTGAAGACCAAGGCCGGACGACCGGAGCCGTGGGGCCGGACCGTGGGGCGTCGTGTTCATTTCAGATCGCCGTTTTCAGTGTTCACCTGGACCTGCGCCACGCGGGCGTTCCAAAGGGTGGCACCCCTCTTTGGAGTTCTTCGCGTCCGCGAAACCCTGCGGTTCGAAAGCGACCCAAACGCGCCAAATCGACCCTCCGAGGTCGTTGGGGTGGGTTGGAACACCCGAAGTTGCCTGAAGAAGTCAACGCCCATCAGATTGTCAAAGAGGGGCAGTTTTTCCACTTGGTGTTGTTGTTATCTTTCTTGTCCAAAGGGGGAAGTCAGCTTTATGTCAGCGCGTTTTCAGTGACTCCCGGCCATCCCAGGGGAACACGCCAAAATATGGATTCTTGGGTGGCAAGCAGACCCCATTGATGCACATTGACCCTGCTGCAAGGAGGTTTGTTGACAACCTCCGAAGTAGAGCTCTGACCCAGACCTGATTCATGGCTTCCTCCAAGAGCTTTTTCAGGTTCCCGCCCTGCGAACCTTGGATATGTGCTATCCACATGTTAAAGTATGTTAAAGTCAAGAAGTCGAGACGAGATGAGGCTTGCATGATTCTCGGGCACACCTCTCCAAGAAGCTAAGGCTTGATATTCCATTCGACCTTCATCGGGCGCGCACAGAGCAAGAACAAAGGCCGAATATCTAGGTGCCTCGCGCGTTCGACACATCACCTACCATGTCCGCTGCGCTCAAGCAGTTGCATTACACGGCCAAGAAGTGGCCGAGAGTTGAGTTTGGCCTATCCAGTTCTCATCCAAGAGAGAGCCGGTTAAGCTTCCGCTTATGACCACTTTTGGGATGGGCTCAGTTGCAGTGACGCTTGGAGGTATTTGGCCAACAAGTGCTCCTTAGCCTCGCGCATCGACTGCTTCTCCGACGAGGCCACGACCGTCTTCGGTGAGAAGCTCAAAGACCAGGCGCGCGGAGAAAGCACACATGTCCTTCCTTGAGTGGATTGATCTTTGTAAGGCTTGCACTCAGTAAGCAGGTCTGGAAAAGGAACAACTTGCAGGAAAGCTCAACTTTGGGTTTGAGACATTTGGGGTTGGGCCCTCACAGCGACAGCTGCTGATTGCCACGAATTGGATGGCAGGACAATGCAAAGATCTAGCACTTACAAGCCCAAAGATTCCAAAGATTGACGACACTTCTTCCACTTCCTCTTTTGCATGCACCTGCGATTCCTCAAAGCAAGACCCAGTATGTATAGTCAGGTTACATATCAATGGTTGGCTATTTGTCGGGTGGGGATTTGTGCAACTTCTTGCCCTTGTCATCATGGGGCAGCGCTTGGACTCCAAGATCAGACACGAGATGAAATGAGATACGCGGCTGTCTCTTCAAGACGCACGCAACACACTACCACCAGACAAATTTAATCAAATTTACATTTGAGCCCTCATAATTTAGTTCGTGTTTCCTGATGTTTCTCGAGCTTTTCGTTCGGATCTTATCGGATTTTTCATTTGCAGGTAGAAGAGCGGCTAACATTCCTGTCCGAGGGAACTACGCCACGGAAGAACCTGGAAGTCATGCAGGAAGCCATCAAGGAGGCTGAGAAGCTTTCTGATGGACTCAGAAGCAATGTGAGTGCGTATTGATGGCATCCTATCCCTCTTCAATCATGCTGTTCATGGTGCCACTGTTCAGGATGTATGTCGCAACACCTTGACTACTTTCATTGGTTTCCCCACCATTGATGTATTATTGTCGCAACCCCTCGGCTTTCGGCATCAATCGTTGAAAGTTGCGCATCACCTGCGTGGCTGCAACCAGGTCACCAAGCAACGAAAGAAGAAGGCCAAGAAAGCTGCGGCCGCCAAGGCAGCAGCCGCTGGTGGGGAAACCGTTGAGGAGGGCGCTGTGGAGGTGCCCAAGAAGAAGAAGCGACTTGGCCTTCTTCGCTGGAAATGCTTCCGAAGTCACCCGGGGTCCGAAGGGGGTCAGTCGTCCACTTCTAAGGTGATGGTGCATGGTAGAAGTCATGGTTTGTACGCAACAAAGTGTGGCAAAGTGATGGCGCATGTCGATGCACTGCCTTCAGCTGGGGCGCTCTGAGGAAGAGAGCGCAAATGGAAGCGGAGGAAGAGGCGCCATGCCCTCCTTTTAGGGCCATCGCTCTCAGATTTCAGAAAACTTTGCGTTGATTGAATGGACCAAGCTTGGAGCCCAGGTCAGTTGCCGCTTGTTTTGACAAAGTCGTCCTTTTTTGATATGTGGCACTGTTGGGTTTGGGGTTTAGCCCACCCACACATCATTTTTGCAGCGTCTCCATTTGTGGGTTTGGCAGCCAGCCTCTGTTAGCACAGGCCGAAGCCCCTGTGAAACCTAAAAAGAAGCCGCCCGGCGGCACAACATGGGCAAGCAATGAGACACATGAGCTAGCTTACAATGAAGGAACGAGTTCCGTCTTTTTTCATAGAGCTTATATATGTATATCTCTTCACACACACATATATATATTTTTATACTTGTGTCATAAATTGGGTAGGTGCTGCTAGCTGCTAGCTTGCGTGGGATCGTGTCCAACAGCACGCCATCCAGCTTTTTCCAAGGAAGCAAGCTCAAGCAGAGGAGGAGGTGGAGGCCCGCAGATGAAACGGAGAGGGCCGCGGAAACGAAGAATGCGATCCGCAATCTACTGCACACAACCTTTGTTCCCCGCAGCTTGAGAGATTGCTTTTTTTCCGCGGCAGCTCAGGCAGAAGCCCCAAAGAAGAAGCGGAAGAAAGCTGCGCCGCTGGGGCGAGTTGGTCTAGATTTCAGACCCTCCACGTGTCCATCTGGGTAGGTCCAGTCCAATTCTTTTCCAACTGGAATGGATTGTTATTTTTTAGGACTTTCTTCTCGGACTGAACTGTTCTTCATTGAAAAATCCTAGCTATCCCAACATCGGACTTTCTGCCTCTCCCGACCCTTCCGTCCGACTCGAAGCCCATCAGCCTGATCCGTGCGTTGTACTTGAAGAGTGGATTGAGAGGTTGGATGGCACTGGCACCCCAAGATGTCTGTGATATAGGGGTCCATATCAAACACCGACCCTGGGCCACTTGGGGGGATTGCGCCATCGAACCTCTCCACCCAACCTCCAGGAGTGAATGGCGAAAGAAAAGCCTCCCAACCTCCAGGAATCTCACCCGGAGACCGAGGTCACCGACTGGAATTCAATTGGCCGACTGGGTATCCATGCATTGTTTGGCCGGTTTGTGCTTGGAGTTGGCGAGTAAGCTTGGTCTGGGTCGAAGTCCGAAAGACGTCCGTGTTTTGGTGGCCGATCTCCCCGATCCGAAAGCGTCCTGAGGTAGGATCACACTTCACTTCTGAATCCGCCGAAGAAGATTGGCATCGTGTCACCCCAGCTGAGCGCCAGCACAGTCATTTTGTGGAGAAAGGTCGTTTCGTGCGATGGCTTCGTGGCTTCGCTGGTGTGTTGGCCTGGCCCCAACATGCTGCACCCACCTTTCTGACAGACGAACGCGACATGTGGTTGCTGTCGAGCGCTCCAAGCCGACTGAAAGTTCGACCCTCTGGCACCGTCTCGACCCTTCAAGTCTCGAGCCATGTCACCGGTGGCTCTAGAGATCGACGACAGCGGACTTCGCCCAGGTGCTGAACAGCCCGAGACGAAAGCTCCGGAAAAGGCGCCAGGCAGAGCAGTTCGTGCTAGGTCAAGTGAGGGTCTGGTAGGGATCAAAGGGTTGCAGACATTCTCATGGGGCCATTCCGGGGCTGGGGGCTGGGCCTTGGGTCTTATCTAACCTCACTTGCATTGCTGATATGCCAGATGCATGCCGGTGGGGTCGGTGTAGGTCTGACTTATCAGATCCCCACAGGGTCAGGGCCACAGAGACTTCTGACCGACCCTGTCTAGGCACCCAAGCAAATCCTGAGACGAGGAAGAAAGAGAAGGTGTTTGCTTGGATGGTTCGGCACCTAGACCTGTGCACCTAGACCTGTGCCATGTCTATTGTATGATGTTGGGGCACATTCTGCAATTGACACGGGCAGAATGTAGCGCATTTTGGCACCTGGGTTGACATCTTGGGGGGACGATGTCAGGGGCCGTTTGGGGCTGCTGCGACACCTTCTTTGGGAACATGGTTAAGTTCGGATAGATTCTTAAACGAACTCCGAGGTACATGGCACACAAAGCAAACCACTGGAGTCAGACATCGATGCTGTCAGGATTCGGATGAAGAGCTCGAAGATGAAGGGGATGAAGGCTCCGACCAGTTCGTACTTGTTCTTGACCCCAGCCATCTTTTCGCGGAAGGTCAAGAAAACGAAGAAAAAGCGGAGGAAAAGGAGAGAGAGGAGAAAGAGGAGGTAGGGCTTTCACGTCTCTGTTCGCCCTCCTCGCCATGAGCAACGGTACAAGAGGAGAAATCGGTGGGGTGGCAAACAAGGCCAATCGGAGGACCACACCTGGAAATTAGAGAGGTTGGGTTGGAACTTAAAAGCCTGCGGAGAGGTAAGGGCTTGCAGGGATGGAAAAACATGGCAAAACCACCATACTGCCATCTTTGGGCACAGTATCTCCACCGGTCTCCCTTCCAGGCCGCCCATGAATTCCAAACAGGTCGACATCTCTTAGGTGGACATGTGGCCTTTGGTCCTCCTGAATTCTCGATCTCGATGTGTTCGGTCGACTCGTGTCTTCAGGTCGCCAAGACTGAGACCTCCAAGTCGAAGAGATCCAGATCCAGGTCTTTCGGTCGAAGTTGAAAAGACTTCGAAGGAGAAGGTTCTCCTTGTTTGTGCAGCCAACTCGAAGGGGAGTCCATGAAAGACCCATTGGTTGAGGGTCCCTCCTGTTCAGATGCATCCAGAAGGCACGTTCCCCATGTTGTTGCCTAGCTGCAAGTTGAGATGGCAGTTGGATGATAGTCGCGTCCAGCAACCGAAAGATCAGAGTCCGAAGCTTGTCAACCTGGTTTGATTCATTTTGATTCATTCGACTAGACGGAGACCCTGACAGGTGTTTGGGAAAATCAGTTTCCTCTCACGCGGGTTGTTTTTGTTGCTGAAAAGGTGCACACACCTGACCTCAGATTCTTTTTTGTTTTTTCAGAGATTTGATTGGCAGATCTAGATCGCGATCCAGATCTCGTCATCGGGTGAGATCAAGATCCAGACACAGTGGCATCCTCAGCCTCACTCTTGCTGTGGGGCTGGCTTCACTTTCGGGCGGCCAAGGAGAAAGGGATAAAGATGATGTGCGCTTCTCAGCATTCCATCCTTTGCCGAAAGCAGCTTAGCTTGGGCCATCTCTGTTTTGGTGGCTGGGGCTGGGAGAGTCGAATTCCATGGGTGAAGCCATCTGGCGCTTGTAGTGCTAACCTGCCGTGACTCCCAGAAACCGGCCGCGACTCCCGTGGTCCAGGACGAGAACGCCGATGTCAGTGCCGAAGTGCTCGACGAGGCCCGGGTGTGTTGACCACCGACCGGACGAGACAGGGACGAAAGAGGCCCAGAAGTGCCCCAGAGGGTGGGCCTTTTGTGGCGAAAAGCCGGGAAACGTTTGGCTAACCAATGTGGATCCGCCTGGTTTTGTTGCTTTGGAATTTTCTTCACCTGGACGATCTGGCACGATACGGGACGATCATGCCATCGATTGCATCACGATGCACTAAACGCCAGGTGCAGTCCTTTGGAAAGATGGTGATGTTATCGCCGGCCTTGCGTAAGAAGCTGCGGAGGCCATGTGTTTTCTGCACGCGGCAGCCGCGCGTCGCGCGCGTCTTTCGGGAGGGAGCCAGGTTGCTACACCTTGAGGTTCCAGGACTCAACAGACCAAAGTTTCCTAGCCTCTGATGCCAAAAAGAACGATGGTTGTACCCCAACAGGGCAGCCAGCTAGGTCCTAGGTCAGAGAACGACAAGATCACTCTTCTAAGAAGCTACTGTGAGTCATTCTGCTCTGCCAAGTGTTGGGTGCACAAAAAGAAGGACATGGAGGGTCGCAGTCCCCCTCCGGTGGGTCGTCTTTGGCCCAGAATGACGCCGGATAACGTCGCTGCGGCTTGTCGGGCCGACTCCTCAGACGCGTCGTTGACCAGCTCCATGAGCGAAGCGCTTGTTTGCAGAGAAGTGAGTCGAAGTAGAGACAAAGATGCAACCTCATTGAGTCCCAGCACTGGGGCCCAGTTGGGGCCATGTCCAAGGGCTGAGTAGCGCCATCAGCCTTTGAGGCCCTGGGCCGAACCAAGTTCTTTGATGCAGAGATCATCAAGGAGGGAGAGAGACCTCTAGAGTTCGTTTATACTGTCAGAGAGTATGCAGTGTGGAATCTTGCCAGCACATCTTCTTTCTGTTTTTGCGTGTATCATTGTTTCCTCAGTCCTGCTTACCTGCGCTCTCAGTTCAGAACATTGAAGTTGGTGGTGTGGGAAGCGCTCATCTACCTTCCTGTCTTGATGCACAGAACAAGCAACAACTTTGGTAACTATCTATAGGCAAGGCTCTTTCAACGTTTTTGTTCTCTGTTGTCATGGTTTAACAACGTGATTTTCTCCCTTATCCGTTCTACGTGTCTTTCTCCTTGTCCTTCTCTCTCTCTCTCTCGCGCTCGCTCTGTGTGTCTGTCCGAGTCTGGATGCATGCCAACTTGAGCCGTCTGGCGGTAGGCGCGCCTACCGTTCAGGGCGCCCATCATGGTGCATCCTTTCTATTCAGCGAGCGGTTGGGGTTTGTGGTGACATTTGCCACTGCATTGATTCTGCAAGTCGGTTCTGCGTTCCTGTCACAATGAGTGCCTCGAGTTCTGCGCTTTCAGTGCACCACCCTTGCAACGAGCCATTTGAGCCAGTTCTGTCATGTTCTTTCGCAGGACCTGAACGATGCACGGCCTCTCAGCCCCGCGAGGAAGGGTGAGGAAATGGAGGCTTGTCTCTCGGTGTCCATCAGGACGGTACCAGCACCCACTATATAGGTTCTAGAGACAAATACTTTTTCATATCATTGTTTTTGGGATCCCATGAAAATGCTGGGCATGGGTGGTTTGCAGAATATCTGGGACTGGCCTCCGGCAGTCCTTCAAGTCCGGCTGCATGTGCCCACCTAGGGTTTTTGAAAAACTGTTGTCACAGATTTGTGCTGGGTATTGCAAATCCTTTGAGCCCTTCGGAGTTGGTTTGCCCACATCTGAGCGCCACTTGAGGTGCTCAGGAGATTGTTTCAAAGAGATCAGCTTTCAGCGGCGCAAGCCAATGATGGGGCCTCGGGGAACCGGGGCGTGCGATGAAGCCATCGACTTCACCTAGGGGGTTCGTGCGCAGAAAAATCCGGTGGGGCTACTAGTTGTCATGTTCCAAGTCATGTTCAAACCATGTTCAACCTGTCTCCAGTTTGACGCCAGATCTGACCAGTTTGGGATCCGCCTGAGAAACGAACCGCCCAGATCTGACCAGTGAGGCAGAATGAAGCTAAACCAGGCACGAAGCTTGTCGGGATGACCCGCATGATCCCGCCCAACCCTCCACTGCATCCGATCTTCGGGTCGAAGGATCATTGGATCATCCCGATGCAGCTTGTTTTTCTTCCATTCTTGGGGTGGGTTGGGGAGAGAAACGCACGGACGTGGGGCACCTGGATTCCGGGATCTGCCCGTCGAACGCCGAGGATGCTCTTCAATGTCTTTGGGAGATCAACGCCTATGACCAGGTGCCTCAATGAACATCGGATCATGCTGGAAGGACGCGCGCCTCACGAAACTACAGGCAACTCCTTGAAACTTTGGTAGGCACTTCGTGCAGTTCGCTTGCCCATCACAAGCAGCAAACCTCCACACGGTACAGCACCCTGGTCAACACGATCTCTCATTGTGGCATGAGCCTTACCCAAAGGTGCCAATGCGATTGCCACTCATGGTGCTCGCAAAGGCACTTTTCACACCGCTGGCCGGGTGTGGGGCGCAGCCATGCGTCACTGTGGCGGAGTTCATGCACGACTGACGGTCGACTTGGCTACAGTGATGTGGCGCTTGAGGCCAACCCACTTGCCAAGTGGATGACAGTGAGACGATGCGCTAATGTGCTCACTGGGCGCCGTGACCAACACCTCGACCAACAGGTCCAAGGTGGCTGTCACTCATGGATGCTAAGTAGGGGAGGCCATTGGGATTTCGCCGAGAGGGACCCCTCCTGGGGGGCTGGTCACTGGTGAGATCAGATGGCGGCTGGGTCTTTGCTCAGGGTGTGCTGAGTGCGTTGGCCCAGAACTTCAAGGCGAAGATCCTCACCTTGGAGCCCGTGCTCCGACAAGCCTGGCCGGAATGCCTGGAAGACCCGTGGCGGGCCAGCGGGAAGAAAACGGGAGCAAAGGTGGAAACAGGTGATCTTTTTCATGTGCACTTTCATCCTGCGAAGCTGTAGTCGTTCTATACTATATAGTTCTAAAGAGCGTATCTTTTTTCTGAGGGGTTTTGGCTCGAACGTGTTCTGTGCAGAATTTTGGGATTGCTGTGGACCACCCGTTGCATCATAACTTCTGGTGTTGCTCTTGGGATTGTGGTTTCAGGCCAAAAATAAGAACGCGCCGCATTTGGTGCAATCCACCTTCGAAGGTGCACAATGTAAACATCATGAACAGGACATGGGTGAACTAACATGTACAGTATCCATGTATGTAGGGCGTGTTCGGATAATTTGGAAGGCCTTTCAGGGGCATGGTAGAATCACGGTGCTGCGACCTGGCCCACAGCACCATGTGTTTTAGTGGGGTATTTGTGTACGTAGCTAGCCAACCTGCAAATTGGTGCTCAAGTTGTTTGTGAGGCCAACATGTTCACTGTCCTAGTAACTAGTATATTTGGACTAGATGAACCGCGGACAATCCCCAGGCGCTTAAGACGTTTTTCAGTAGCCGATGGTGAGACTGACCGAGACTGGAGGACTAGTTGACAGTCAGAAAGTCCAACACAGCCACTAGGCCACTGGGAATTCTAGTTTCGCCACTTGCTAGCCACTTGCTAATCTTGCTAGTAGGCCTTCTTCTCACCTCAGGCGAGAGATCTTCCAGAATTTCAAGCCGCCCAGATGGAATGGATGGGGAAGGGTGTTTGGCGACCGAAGCTCGCAAAGTTGGCGCACACATTACATGGCGAAACCTAGTAGTCTGATCAACATGGATGCCGGGGCTGGCGGGCGGGCTTCTCACCACCGAGGCATGAGAGAGATGCGGACTTCAGACAGTTGTGTCGGGCTCAACCTCAAAGCGCGGACGTAGGCGTTTTCATTTTGCTGTCTCAGTAGCTGTTTCATGGTGTGAGAAGCGTTTGTGCAAGCCGCCAACCGAACTTCAGCAGCCAAACGCAGATAATATAGCAAGATCCAACCGCCTGCAAGACCAGCAAGACCTCCAGAACTTCCATGCTTCAAGCGACCGAACAATCGAAGGCATCATTGTCGGAATGCTTTCGCATCATGACATATAGCTATCGTGTGCTGTTGTAGCATCCCAGGTTGGAAACTCCTCCTTTGACAGCTGCAGCGGGGCTCAGGGAGCTTTGCAAAGAGTCTTTTTGGGAGTTACCACCAGTGGGAGCTTGGGACACCCGCAGTCCGCAACATGCTGCAGCTGGCAATGCCAGCCAATTGCTTTTACTGGAGTTCTGTGGTCGATATTTATGATGTATTGCAACCAACGGGGCACCACAATGCCACAAGTGTGTGTGTATATATATGTACACATTCAGAAAACGGCTCTCCACTTCAGCGGAACCATTTCACAAAGATGAAGCACGTTTTAGCGTTTTGAGGTCAGTCCTGGCTACCAGAAGCTACGGCTGGAGTCCAGATTTATTTTGGCGCTCTGTTCGAGTGATGCCAGCAGACAGAGAACGCATTTGTTACATGAACATCATCCCTCATGGCGGACTCAAATGCGATCCCAAGGTGTTTCCACCATTCCAGAGGATCCTGTGCGTTGGGTGACAAGGTTCCGCGAGAACGGTCGTTCGTTGTAGAAATGGCCGTGGCATGTGTAACCTTTAGACAACTTCTTGTCCCTTACCTTGACTGTGAGCAGTTGGCACCGTCAATGAAGCAAACGATTGGGCCATTTTTGTCTACCAAGAAGGGTTGCTGCTAATATCTTCTAATTCGATGTTTGCTAAAGGATGTGGTTTCCCCAATGGCCCGGCACCCTCGCTTCATCCGAATCCACCTGATCCAGGAATGCACCTATTCGCACGATCCGCGCGCGCCGCTGACCTTGGAGATGTTCTCAGTGCCAGCGACGCCCTCGGCAAAAGGTCCTCTGTTACTGACGGAGGACCCCCTGCCTTGCGGGTCAGGGCACCAGAGGACCGTGGTTAGACCCACCCGAAATGAACAGAATAGACGACCTACGGCAGGTCAACCTACCAGGGTGTGAAAAGGTAGGTAAAAGACCATCAACCGCAGAGGTACAGAGTGTAGCATGTACAAAGCAAATTTGAACATAGTGGGGTAAGCCACAACTATGTACCATGCAGTATGTGCAATTCCAGGTGAATTGTGTGAACCGGATTAGACATCACCAAGGTTTGGGGAGTTGGGACTTGACTCACAGCCAAATGAGATACGCAGTTTGAACTGGGAGCCCCATTTATGTTAGTGGCCATACCTGTGGTGCATGCCACGCCCAGATGCGCAGCTCGCCGTTGGTGATGACACAGAACCAATTTACAATGGGCCAAGCTCTCAGGAGGTTCATGAATTGGGGGCCTTGGTTGCTGGGTGCCCTCACCACGCTTGTTCTTGGAATGACCTACATATCTGCGCAAGGAGCTTACTGATCCTTGTTTTATGGGTTCTTGTTTCTCAGGTCGCTTGATGAACAGAGTTTGAGTGCCTTTTGATGGGATATAAGAGAGGGTCCTTCAAGCCAGCCTTTAGGCAGCTCATTTCTTCTGTTGCCAAATGGTGTTCCACCCATCATGTGGTACGCGTAATCTTGTGCTGTCAACCATTTGCCGCCAAGATTCCTACCTTTTGGGGGCTGCAAGGTAGATTTGACATTGTATTGTAAGGTTCGTGCATCAAACTACAGATCTACAACCTACAGTAATGTAATAAATTCAAGTACGACCACAAAAAATGGGCTCGTGTTTACGAGCAGGACCCTCCGATTGTTTGGAAGGGCTCGGAGAACGGTGTGGTTTGGAAAACCTGACTCTTCAAAGCTGCTGATTCTGTATCCTTGACCCCGACCTTGTTGATCCTTGTTGCCAAGATACCAGGGGTAGCACATAGAAAAACATTCTCCTGCGGTCGCCTCTTTCGGAAATAGGTTGTTTGTGGGGTCCTTTCCTCGTATTCACCACCTTTGTACTGGTGAGTCTTTCACGTTAGGCCGCTCCATCTATGGGGGCGCGCGCAACGGCCAGTTCACATGAGCCAAACTGGCAATGGCGCACGCACCGGGCGCGAGGCGTAGGTGGTTGGTCTTCGTGGCTACTGAGCAGTTTGAGCTGACAAAATTTAGAACTTTTATATAGAATCTTTTAGTGGGTTTCTTTTTGGTTAGGAGGAGTTGCCATTAAAGACTAAGAAAGCCTTTCTATTGTGTCCCGTCTTGCGCCTTGTGCATCTGATCTGTCTCGTCCCTAGTCTCTGATCCGCGGATCAACAAAAAGGCATTCGACTCAGGCAATTGCGGGTGACGAAGGGTTTCCCTGGGGGTGGTGGCTTCTACTTCCTTCCTGGTCGATCTTCAAAAAGGTAGCCCCGAGGTAGATTGGTGTTTGAATGGGCCATGGGCTAACAAGCGCAACAAGTAACTCGTTCCATTCGCAAACTATTGTGGTGGTTGCCAGGGGTACGAGTTTGGCTGACAGGCATGCTGAATCGTGAAGTGTGACTTGAGCTGGCACTGAACAAACCAAGATAGAGACGATGGAGACAGAGAGATAGAGATAAAGACAGAAGGCCACAACACAACAGCCCTAGGTTTGCGAGCTGAGAAAGCCCGACACCAAATGACCAAATGCATTCTTTTGTCTCGATACCGCCAGCAATGGAGAATGTGTGTCGCTACGCCACAAGATAGCTTGCCACTGAAGGACGGAGTGCTGTATCCTGGCGACCTTGGAGTGGTCGTCAGATCCCTACACTGAAGCCCACCGGGCCTGGATGACCGGACTTCCCAACGTATGGTGAAAGCGATAAGTTTTGAGGCCACTTCCCAATCTTGCCACGGACGAGAAAAGCGGATCAGACAAGCGCTTTCCGAGAAGCGTATCTCTGGCCAGGACGAGCCTTCCGTGGCAAGCCGCGTGCCTTCCGGAAGGCTTTCTTGGAGGTCCAGCGGGTTGTTCCACGCAGTCGTGGGCCGACGGAGGCAAGTCCGAAAAATCGGCTAAGATTTGGTTGAGTTTGGGTGGCATGTAGTTCATCTGAATCTAACTAAATCTATGTAACGATAGGTTTGGTGGTCCAAAGAAGCCCTAACATCCCTAAACATCCCAAACCCAACTTCAAAGGCCTTGAACACACCTTGTCGCCCCTCGGAGAAACATGGAACGCAGACTGACACAGACAGAACACATCATTCAATTCCACCATTCGCAGTCTTTTTTCCAGTTCTTGAAGACACTTTAAGTCACTTCAAGACCTAGGATCAGAGCCAGAGGGGGCTAGATGTGTATATATATATATAATATATATTCACACATTATTTCATATTATTCCATCCAGTTTTGGCACCTTCAAGGGGTGTCCGGGTTTTGGTAGAGTAGAGCCTCTCGAGCCTTCCGTTTCAAATCCTCAGAAGGAGGCCCCTGGCGCGAGTTGGCCAGGCAGTGGCGGGCAAGTAGCGAGCAACGCTTTGGGTTGAAGCTGTCGAATCCTATACAAACAAGAAAGGAGAAGGAACAAAGGCAGAAATAAGGAAAGAAAGAAAGGAAGGGAAGGGAAGGGAAGGAAAGGGAACGGAAAGAAAAGGACAGGAAGAGGAAGGAAAAGGAAGGAAAGAAAAGAAAGAAAAGAACACAAGAGAAAAGAAGGAAGGACACGGAAGGAAGGAAGGAAGGAAGGCAGGCAGGCAGGCAGGCAGGGAGGGAGGGAGGGAAGGAAGGAAGGACAGAAAGGACAGAGAGGACAGAGACAGAGACAGATATAGAGCCAATCAGTCAAGTGTTGGAACTTATACAAATTCAACGGCTGAGAGACGTGGTCCCACCTCTTTGAGCCGGCTGAGAATAGATCCGCAACAGACGGGACGAGTCTCGGACGGGGACTGGTAGGGGAACTTGTGGATGTTCCTATCCGCACTTGCACTGTGGTGGGGTTCCCTTAGGTTGGAGGCCATCGCTAGTAGGTGGGAGGCCATCGCTTGTGGGTTGGAGGCCATCGCTAGTAGGTTGGAATTCCCTTGAGCCCTTGACACGTGGTCTTGTTTTCCATCGCATGCAGTGCCACCAGGTGAGCCTCTCCGGCGTTTGAAGCGTCTGGCGCAAAAGGGAAGGCTGGGCCGACGCCCCGATCTGCTGAAGCGGTGACACCCTGTCCTATCGATGACATATCCATGTAACTATCTAGCTGATGATGGGTGTAAACTTTTCCTGCATGTCCGTTGTTCACCGGCATGGGGCGGGGCGGCACGCGGCGCCACCGGTCAGGCCAGTTGATGTTTCGATCGTCGATGAGTTGCCTGATTTGTCCACCCTGACGGCCAAGGATCAAAAGCTTCGTGCTGACATGTTTGCTTTTGTGTCACGGACCATTCATGAAGTTGGCTCCTCAGTATTTCTCTTCTGTAGGCGGCTCCCAGCCATATGTGACTCAACTGTAGTTTCAGTGGGCAGACTGATCACAGCTGGAAGACTCTGGTGCAGATGGTCTTTGGCAGATCGCTCCCATAGCATCTGCCTGGCCCAGGAGCTCGCCACCACTGCTTGGTCTGCTGCCCGCTTGCGTACACCACTGACACAACTGAGGACGGCACTTGCTGATGTAGGCCGGGCCTGACCGGTTTTGGTTCGTCCAAGTGGCGCCGGATTCACGGTTCACTTCCTGGATGGCTGGGTCTTTCCGGTCGCGCGCTCCGCCCAAATCCTTCGACAGCGTCGCCAGGCTTCGACTCTTTCGACGCTCGGGACTTGGCCAAGACCGCCTGGGCCTTCGCCCGGCTGCGCTGGCGCGACATGCCGGTGCTGGCGGCGCTGGCCGCCGCGACCGCTGAGACGACGACGACGCCGCAGGCGGGATGCAGACCATGGGACGATGCATGCAGAGGCACTTCCTTTCATGCATGAGTCAATGTGAACATCATCGGGTCTTGAAATTTGTGGCGTCTGACCGGTCGCAGAGCAACGAACACTGACTCCCACACAGGGTGTGGCCAACGTGCTGCGAAGCTTTGCGACCTTGGCGGTCCCGAGCAGCACGGTGATGGACATGGTGGCGGAACAGACGTGCTTGCAGCAGGAGGGACACCGCGCTGGTCTTCCACTTGCTGGGTAGCAGGGTTTTCCCGGCGCGGGAGTACTGAGTAGAACCCAACAAACGACTAGAAAGCGGTGGCTTTGTAAAGCCACCTTGACGATGGAAGAGTGAGAAGTCTCGCTGCCAGAGGTCTTGCTGAGGTTTTTGGTCAGGTGTTTTGCCAGGTACGGAGCCAGTCTGAAAGCCCTGTGATGTTCAATGGTTAGTTATAAGTGGCCTGGTACCCAGCTTCGTTGGCGCAACGAGCCACCCATCCTGGTGCACCAGGAGCAGTTCTCGCCATAGGAGCTGGCCAACATGGCATAGGATTGGGCACCTTGGCATCGCCAGAAGGGCTTGCTGAATTTGGGACTTGCCCAATCTCAGAGCGCGTTGCACATCCAAACCAACACCTGCCCACTGTTCGGTCAGCTGAAGCTGGTTCTGATCTTATCTTCTTGGAGCATGACACGTCCCAATCCACATCATTGGATCTGCCCAAGATCTCCCAACTCAAGACCAACACATGCATGCTGCATGTTTAGACTGGCGACCTAAAGCTGGCCTCCAGCTTTGCAAAAGGCACCGCATCACAGCGGCTGTTTTGTTTGGGCCCTCATCTTCTATTGAACTCGGATCCGCATCAAACCGGCGAACCGAGGCGATCTTTGGTGGAAGGGAGAAGATTTCAGGCAATAGCAGGGGCGGCAATCGTTGGGGAAGTCGGCTTGGCGTTTGAGATGGTCTCAGTGATATGTCATGTGGCAGTGAACGAGTGAGGGGATGTTCCATCATGTCAGAATATAGTGGCTTAGCTGAATGCCAGCAAAGCACGTAATCAACAATCGAACTCTTCTTTGGCCGCTTGGTTTGTGAGAGCCGGCACAGCCCAAAGGTGTCATTGCTGCCCAAAGCCTTGCACGTTTGAGTTCACTTGGCCCGCCGCTTGGAGCAGAGAGTGGGCCAGGCAGGGCCGAAGAAGGCCAGACAGGCCAAACATCTTCCAACTTGCTGGGCATTTATATACTGTAGACTGCAGGCATCACGAGAGCTAGCCGCGAGGCGAAAGCTTGAGTTGTTGGTTACCTAAGCTTGCTTAGCATCAGGGGTCTCAGGGTGGCCGGGGCCTCGCCGAAGTGCGCGATTATTTTTGTTTTAAGTAAAGGGCTTGCAATGTTGAGATTTTGGGTGCGGGCTCACACCCGGCATGGTTACCTAAAGCATGCAAACATTTGCCCCCCACAGTGCCGCGCAACTTCAGGTGAGGCTGGGATGGGCCGGGACCTTCTAAATGTTTTGGGGCTCATTGCGTCGCCCAGGACAGACCTTGCGAACATCTCCTGAGGGCTCTAGGCCAGCTTGATTCGTGTGTGGCTATTGGTTGAACATATTGATCCCCCAACCATTCAAGAGCCATCCACCCCTTCAAGAATACCCATTCTATGAACCTCCCAGATCTTTTGTTCTTCAGTTAGCTTGGTGGTTGATTTTCCGGACTGCCAGACCTTAGCGCATCAAGACGAGATCTTCTTCGGCGCAATTCGCAGGGCAACCTGGAGGGTTTGGGAGTGGCCGGCACCGGCGCCCGTGAGCGTAGGAGTGGCGGCCGGTGCCGAGCACATCGGTGTCGCGAAGAAATGGAATTTGTTGGACCAACTGAACTGATGGAGGTCTACCACAGGAGGACACGAACGAAAGCTGAAGGGTGTGGTTTCCTCTTCTTGTTCGATCACCGTGTTTTTGCAAAGCGAAGAAGATCTTCCCCGTCTGTGCGTTGGCGTTTCTCCTCACAGACCTTAAGGGCCTCCCTGGTGTCTGGTCCCCGCCAAACGTGTGCGGCGCGGTCGTGGCAAAAGGGGTAGTGGCACTTAAGCGTAGAATGGAGTGGCAAGGGGTTGGCTTCCTTTCGATGCCAGGCGACGCAATGGGATTGGTTTCCACTGACCTGTTGAATGGCTATATTACACAGTTTGCCTGGTGCTGCTGGTGGGTCAATCGGGAAGGGAGAAGCAAAAAGAAGCAGCTGGGGTTTCGAGGCCAAGCTTCGATGGAGCAGATGTCACAACTCAACGCTCAGGACCGAACCGCCTGCTGTGAAGATCCCTTGTCATTTTCCACTCGCAGGTGATTTGTGCCATCCGCGCACCTCAGATAGCAGTACACTCTTCAAGAACTCGCACAGACGAACTGGTTGTCCATGCTGGTTGTGCCATACCAAGCGGTCATCCGCAAACCAGTTGATGTCTGCATGGCATGGCGAGACCGACATTGGGATTGCTTATAGGAGTTCGGTTCATATCTTTCCAGTCTCACTATCCGACTATCCGATTATACTCTGACGATGTTCGGAAAGCGTCCACAGTCGAGTGGTGTGAGGCCACGCACACACACACACACAAAGGCTTCCAAAATCATCAGAGCAAAGAGCCCGGTCCCCACGGGTGGAGAAACCTTGACTGTTATGTATGGGTCTCTGCCCAACAAACCGACGGAGTTCAATCAGACTATCCGATTAAGAATATCCCATTCATCATCCGGTGCCCAGTGCTCCTTGCTGGAGGGGCTCGGTTGGAAAGGATGTGGCGAACACAGCATGGGTCTCGAGCACTCAGAAGCGTAGGCCGCCGGGCCGCTGCTTCCAGACGAGACGAGATGGGCAGGGTCCAGATGTCGACTGTGCCAGGTTGGTCAATGTGAACCATTTTGGACAACCAGGTCTTGGTGAGAAGGAGATTCTACAGTTTTCTTGTCTTGCTTTTGGCACCTCCATGCTCGCAGCCGATTCCGATGCGGTCGCGTTTGACAGACGCTCGTGAGCGGCTCGTGCCTGACAGATGTTGACAGCAACCCTTGAGCACAGCAAGATCCACCTCAGCAAGCTGTTCCAGAATCAAACGGATGTCAAACTCAGCTCCCTCAATGTTGTTGTGGAGTAGTCAAACATCATGTGACATGGTGACATGGTGAGATGGAAGGTGATGGAACGCATTAAAGGAGCTGAGCTGCCCAACTTACTGCTGTTCATCGAGGCCATGAGCCTCAAGGTTTGCGGCGCCCCAACCCCCCAAAGTGGATGACCGACCGCACGGGATGCCCGCGGGCCGTGACCGCGCCACCAAGAAGTCGGGACCCTCTGGAGCTGTAGCAAGGCATAGCCATACAGTGGTTGCATACTTATTAAGACCGATATGATATAGATGTGCATGCATGCACGCAAGTCATGTACTCAAAGTCATGTATTGGCACAATGAGGAGGCTGAACAGATCTCTTGCGGACATCACATCTTGGAGACGCTACATGCCTCACCTGGCATGGCCAAGGTTTGCAGAATGCACACTCTTCACGGCGGTGGTCATTGCCGTGGGGGCCCCTGGGCGGCCCGGGCGGGCAATCCGCCGGAAGGATGGACAATCATCCGAGCATAGACATCCCAGGAAGGCATCAAGCTGTAGCAATGCCCTAGCTACTAGTAGCTTCTTGTTCCTAGTAGCGATGCACTTGCTATTGGTAGCTTCTAGATAGTAATAGCTTTGTTACTAGTAGCGATGCACTTGTCATCGGGCTGAAGAAAATAACAACTTACCGGCAATGCCTTAGTCACCTGAGTGCTTTGTGGCGTTTGACGGGCCCGAGGTGAAGAGAACCGTATAAAGGCAAGGTCCAGGCGATCAGGAGCCAGCCGAGGTGTTCTCCATGCTGGAGATGATGTTTGGGCAGGTCGGGGTTGGCGAAGCCCCGGCTATGCCAATGCAATCGCAGGACTTGATCATGAGGCTCAGGGAGCGGCGGAGCTCGGCAGGTGAAAGAGGTCAGGGATGTGACGCCTGGGACGCTCGATCTTGTTCGTTCTTTCCATGCCACAGCTCTGACGCCCCACCACCCAAAACCATGTGTGACACGGTCGGTTCTGAAGAAGAAACGGAGAAGAAGCAAAGGATAGGTGTTTGAAGTGCTCTTCAGCCCTTGCAAGAGGTCATGACAGAACATGACACCACTGCACCTTGATGCAAAAGAGGTCACTACAACAGCGAGCTGCGAACGAGGCCATTCCCTTGATTTGGGGGGCCTGCTGCTGATTCTGAAGATCATTCATGATCTAAACAGTGTGGATTTTGACCCTAGGAGCTAGAGTAGATGCCAGTTTGGTCCTCGACAGCGAGAGACCTGTTGTTCCAGGATGGGACAGGTCCACGAACTGTGCACCGATTGTGCAAAAACGCAGGGAAAACACCCGACAAAAACAATCCAGCACGGGTGACTATTGGAAGGAAGCAACATAGTCAGAGGTGTTTGTAAACCACCTTTTCCGTGGTGCTGGATGCTATGTCTCTGCTGCATGTCCTTTTCCGGGTGGCCTTTTTTCGGGTCCCCCGTTTTGAAAGAGGTGGAGCTCGAGGACGACGAGGACGAGGACGAAGAAGAGGAGGAGATGCTCAGTCAAGAAGAGCCAGCAGATGCAGCAGAGCCCAGAGGGTTGATGAAGAGACATGAGCAGACACGCTCAATGGTTTGCACCATGGGGTGAGGCGCCGGGAACTATGTAAGATCACACCCACCGGCTGCAAAATCAGACATGGTAACCAACTTGCGGGCAGAATGAACAAGGTGAGCAGTGAAAACCACCCGAACCCAGAAACATCCAACTCAAAAAGAGAGTGGGCCCGGAGAGACTCTGGCGAAAGCCCCGGACGTCCATCGTCATCGAAGTCATTTGCCAAGGCCCTTCCGGACGCGCTCCGGCCGCCGAAGGTGGCGGAACCGCCCAAGGGCTTGTCTGCGCCCAAGGACGCGCCGGTGGAGGACGTCTCACAGGTGGGAATTGAACAGGGGATGCGCGAAAATGCTCCTAGTCCTAGTAGCTTCTTGGTCCTAGTAGCGATGCCAGGAGCCCCTAGTAGCGTCCTTGCTCCTAGTAGCGATGCCTATCTTCTGGTTCCTAGTAGTATGGCCAGGAGCCCCTAGTAGCGATGCCAAGGGCCCCTAGTAACGTCCTTGCTCCTACTAGCGATGCCCAGCTTGTTCCTATTAGTATGGCCAGGAGCCCCTAGTGTCCTTGCTCCTACTAGCGATGCCCAGCTTCTTGTTCTCAGTAGCGATGCCAGGAGCCCCTAGTAGCGTCCTTGCAGTAGCGATGCCCAGCTTCTTGATCCTAGTAGTATGGCCAGGAGCCCCTAGTAGCGATGCCAAGAGCCCGTAGTAGCAACCTTGCTCCTACTAGCGATGCCCAGCTTCTTGTTCCCAGTGGCGATGCCAGGAGCCCCTAGTAGCGTCCTTGCTCCTACTAGCGATGCCAGGAGCCCCTAGTAGCTTCGTCTTCCTAGTAGTATGGCCAGGAGCCCCCTAGTAGCGATGCCAGGAGCCCCCAGTAGCTTCTTGTTCCCAGTAGCGATGCCAGGAGCGCCTAGTAGCGTCCTTGCTCCTACTAGCGGTGCCCAGCTTTTGGCTTCTAGTTGTATGGCCAGGAACCGCGAGTAGCGTCGTTGCTCCTAGTAGCGGTGCCAGGAGCCCCTAGTAGCTTCTTGTTCCTAGTAGTATGGCCAGGA